CCAACGAGCAAGGCGACCTGATGGATCCTTCAGCGACGACAACCAACATAAGGCATGATGGTCTGTGACTACAGAAAAGGTGCGGCCATATAAGAATGGGCGAAATTTCACAATTGCCCAAAGTATGGCTAAGCACTCTTTTTCGGTAACACTGTAGTTTACTTCAGCCTTGTTGAGCGTTCTGCTGGCGTAGGCGACGACATACTCAGGGGATCCAGGCTTGCGTTGAGCGAGAACTGCACCGACACCGACACCGCTGGCGTCTGTATGGATTTCAGTTGCAGCCGTGGGATCATAGTGGCGCAATATAGGCGGTGATGTCAGGAGACGGCGAAGAGTGGTAAATGCGTGATCACATTCGGAAGACCACGATGAGATGTCGTTGGCACTGCTTAAAAGTTGGGTCAAAGGGGCAATTATGGAGGCAAAGTTGCGCACAAACCGACGAAAGTAGAAGCACAATCCTACGAAGCTGCGTAACTGTTTTACAGTCGTTGGTTTGGGGAATTCAGCAACAGCGCGTAGTTTAGCCGGGTCGGGAAGAACGCCATCCTTTGATACGACGTGACCGAGAATGGTGAGCGTCCGAGCAGCGAAGTGGCATTTCTTTAGATTCAGTTGGAGCTGCGCATTCTTCAGACACGTGAGGACATGTTTCAGGCGTACAAGGTGTGTTGCGAAATCGGGTGCAAAGACGACGATATCGTCGAGGTAGCAGAGGCATAAGTTCCATTTCAAACCCCGCAGAACCGAGTCCATCATGCGCTCGAATGTGGCCGGCGCATTGCAGAGGCCGAAGGGCATGACATTGAACTCATATAGCCCGTCCGGTGTCACGAATGCTGTTTTTGGACGATCACCATCTGCTAAGGGCACCTGCCAATACCCCGAACGCAAATCTAACGACGAAAAAAACTCGGCACCTTGTAAGCAATCAAGAGCGTCATCAATCCTGGGCAAAGGGTATACGTCTTTGCGAGTGATCTTATTTAAGCGCCTGTAATCAACGCAGAAGCGAATTGCACCATCCTTCTTCTTAACAAGAACGACAGGTGATGCCCATGGACTTTGGGAAGGTCGGATAACGTCGCGCTTGAGCAAATTGTCAACGTGTTCAGTGATAACCTGACGTTCTGTGGCGGAAACACGGTATGGTCGCTGTCGTACTGGCGCGTTGGAACCTGTGTCGATGCGGTGGAAAAAACTGGGAGTTCGGCCAAGGGTAGGTTGAGCAACGTCAAAGGATTCACGAAACTGGTAGAGCAGCTGAAGGAGCTCAGAGCGTTCAGATGGCGATAGTCCGTCGGCAATCGATGAATCGAAAAGCTCGCAAGGTGGTATATTGGAAAGGTTGAGGACACTTATGGCGTCGTAGTCACCGGAACAATCTGGCGGCATGGTAAAAATTTGTTCTTTATTAATGGCATGCACGTGTCAAAGAGATTCACCTTGAAACAGTTCAACGGGATACGGAAGGGGATTGATGAGGCAAAGAGCACTGTTTCCTTCAGAAATAGAGAGGGTTGAATAAGGCAGAAGAAGTGATCTTCGACTAAGGAAGAGGCTTGATGGCTCAAAGTATGCAGCTTCGTTCCTAATGCCGTCACAGAACACGGGGAGCAACACAGCTGCTGTCGGAGGAATTTCAGTGCCTTCTTTGACGACGAGTTTGTGTACGGCGGGCTGAATGCGGCTGGTTGGTTGGTCGTAAAACGGGAAAAGTTCAAGCTCCGATCTTGCACAATCAATAACGGCATGGTTACGCGATAAAAAATTCCATCCAAGTATGATGTCGTGTGAGCATGAAGACAGGACAATAAACTCAACAGTGTAGTGGTCATTCGCGATCATCAGTCGGACAGTACAGGCGGCTACAGGCTGAACCGGGTCCCCATTCGCTGTTTGCAAGGACATCATGTTAAGAGGCGTCGTCACTTTACGGAGCTTGCGGCAAAGTTTAGCGTCTATCACGGAAACGGCAGCACCAGTATCCACTAGAGCATATGCTCGAGTACCTTCTACAAAAACTTCGACAATATTCGACGGCAATGTCCGAGGACTTGAGCATTTCGACAGCGCAGTTCTTGCCTCCTGAACTGCGGCGGTTAGTTTCCCCTTGTTCAGGAGCTGGCCTACGACGCATGGGTGACAGGGAGCGACGACGGGGTGAAGGTGAGCGACCAGACATAGTACGCGGACATTCCCGTGAAGACGAGCTTGACTGAGGGTCAGAATTTTCCAGACGGGATGAAGAAAGGTCCATGAAGCTGTTCTGTGTCCGGGCGTCTGTGTATCCCGGCACGCGACGACGGCAGTAACGGGCGATATGGCCAGGGCCGCCGCACGCAAAACAGATGGGCCGGTTATCACGCGTTCTCCAAGTATTGGCGACGAGGGGACCAGTCCATGCGGCAGACGGGTGTGTCGAGGCTGTGGTGGCAATGGGAGGAACCCAGGCGGTGGACGGCTGAGTCGGGGCTGAGGTATACGGCAGTCCCTGGAACGACGGGGGGTGGTGTCTCTGCTGCCGCTTTAGTGCCTCAGCGTAAGTAAGAGGCGCGGTGACGGTGGGCTGCTGCAAGGGCACCGGCATAGCCTCGGAAATCTGCTCCTGGAGCACATGTCGGAGCATGGGAGCCAATGGTGGTGGGTGTCGCAGTGGCTGTTGGTGCGAGAGCTCCTGGCGTTGAGCAAAAAGCAGCAGAGAAAGCTGCCGAGCCACTTCCTCTCGCACGAAGTCTTTCATTTGTGCGAGAAGGTTTGCCTGGTCAGCCATAGCGTCCAGTGCGGTCACTGGTTGGATTGTCTGGAATGAGCGTCGCGTCTGAGCTCGTTGCCTCCGCAATTCATCATAGCTTTGGCACAAAGTCACTAATTCTGCCACAGTGCTTGGAGACTTCGCGAGAAGCATCTGGAAAACGTCATCGTCGACGCCCTTCATAATGTGCTGTATCTTCGCACTCTCGCTCATGGAATCATCGACGCGCCGGCAGAGATCAATCACATCTTCTATATATGATGTGAAAGTTTCACCTCGCTCCTGTGCCCGTGTGCGCAGACGTTGTTCGGCGCGTAGCTTCCGTAAGGCAGGACGACCAAAAACGGCACGTATTGCCTCCTTGAAGGCGGAACAATTCGCGAACTCGGTTTCGTGGTTCGTATACCACAGCTTGGCCACGTCGGTGAGATAAAAATTGACAGTGCCTAGCTTAGCAGCGTCATCCCACCTGTTGGGTCCACTGACTTTCTCGTATGACGACAGCTAGTCCTCGACGTCCTGGTCTTCGGTGCCGGCAAAGATCGGGGGGTCTCGCTGATGAACCGAGCCGGGGCAAGTAGTGGCCGTGAGAGGCATTGTTTGTTGGGCAGCGTCAACTTGCATGGTCGACGGCAGGGTGCGAGATCGGAGTTCCAGGTTGTAGGCGATGTGGTTACCCAGCACGATCCACCAAATGTAAAGAGGTTTATTGGGCGAACCAAACGGGCAGGTCGGAGATTGGAGATAGCGACAGAACGAGGAAGATGGAGGAGCTCGAGCGCCAATCTCGTGGTGCCTTACTCTGTGATGATGCTTGCTGTTTCCTTTTGTTATCATCATTCCTTCATTATACGTGTAACACTGAAGTACATTGCATTTTCCTGCTTTTGTTGTGTTTATACCTTTTAACTCTGTTTTATATTATGTTTGTAACAATTGTAACCCACTCCCCTCTCTAATGCCTCTGGCCCTGAGGGTACCTAAATAAATAAATAAATAAATAAATAAATAAAAGTCATATCACTCCCGTATTGAATAACAAAACATAAGTTGTCATCGTCCGGCATATAAGATTGTAATGGACGTGTTTTTAATGCGGTTCTTACCAGGAAATTTCAAGATATTCTCAACATTAATGTGGTTGCTCACTGCTTTGTAATATTCGCTATTTATATAAGGTGCATCACAAGAGCGCGTCACCAACTGAACCACTCGCGCCAATACATTTATTGCGAGCTCGTACTTTGTAAAATAGCCCGCCACGGTGGTATAGTGGCTAAGGTACTCAATTCTTGACCTGGAGGTCTTGGGATTGAATTCCGGCTGCAGCGGCTGCATTTTCGATGGAGGCGAAAATGGTGCAGGCCCATGTGCTCATATTTGGGCACACGTTAAAGAACCCCAGGTGGTAGAAATTTCCGGAGTTCTCCACTACGGCGTCTCTCATATTCAAGTGGTGGTTTTGAGACGTACAACGACACATATCTGTCAATCACTTTGTAAAATAGATACACTTGCGAACAAGTCAGAACACTCGACCAAAACACGTTATGTATGGCATGTCTGTTTCTGCAACTCCCTCTAGGTTCGACAATGCAGCAGTTCGTGAACTTCTAGAACGTTTCAGGCAATGGATGGATGGATTCGCAGGTTTTTTTTTTCGCGTTTACCCAGTACGCACAGCAGTTCACCTTTACGTGATGTCGGTGAGTCATACACAGGGTTTTCCAGCTAACTTGCACAAGTGTACTTTTTAAAATTTTACACGCTTTCAAGAGAAATAATCAATAAATTGAGCAGGGCAGCTGCCTAAGTAAAGATGAAAATACCTGAAGTTACTAAACAATCATTACAAAGTTTTTCGAAATATTTTTGTCGAAGTTGCTTACTTAACTATTAAAAACGCAACCTACGGTAATTACTCAGCTTACCAGATCGGCGATTGTTTTAGCATAAATGAAAAATTATGCAAAGTTTTATTGCAAGCGCTACAACTTTAAACCAGCAGACTTTTCACTAGACTTAACAATTAAAATCTTGATTAGGCAATCTTTAGGAATTATTTGTACCGGGGATCGCAGAATTGTTTTGTCGTGCCGTGAGCGAGTCGGTAAAATGATGGTCCAATTCTAGATGGGTGGTTCATGCGTAGTTGTAACGCTTGTCGCAAGTTAGCTGACAATTCCTGTCATTATTCTTTATTGCACCTTTGCAGAACTCCGGTGACTAAAGTGCAACTTACGTTCTTTTGAAGAATGGCGTGTGAATGTTAGTTCTGCAGAAATCAGTAAGACCTGAACGTGAGCACTGAGTGACTTGACATCGGAGAAGCGTGTGGGCTGTTCACTGATGACCTAATGCGACTCGTAATGTTCAAACCGAAATTTCCTGCTGCACGTAACACCTAGCACGGTGAGCTGTTACGAGCTGCCTGCTGCCATCGCCTATGCAGGCCTGACACAGCCTGTGCTGACGGGGACGTCCCGCTTGTGCTGTGAAGGCGCAGATGTTCTCGCACGTAGAACGCGTCCTGCGCGAACAACTCTGCGCACTTGCGCTATTTTTCTCCAGCCTGTTTACTTGGTTCGAAATAGTGCGGGTTACAGGTGCGGCCTTGCTGGAGCACCACGCATCGCAGCTGCGCATTCCGCACAGTTCAATGCACCCCAGTAGATTCTTTTTTGCTTTAGGCATTCTTTTTTCTTTCCAGCCGGAAACCTCACACTCGAATGATCTTGCAGTGAGTGATGATGCCTGTCTCCGCATATGTCCCGCACAGAGAGAAAATTTCCATCGTGTGTCACACCTTTACGCTTACATTGAGTGCAGGCTGCGTGCTTTGCTTTGTTCTTGGCTGTATAGGTGTATTCTGGCTTCGATTCCCTCAAAACGCGACAGGACATGATCATTGTGACCCTCACAAAAACGTAAAATGCTGGGCGTATTACCTGGGTGCAACTAGGTAGCTAACTTAAGGTAAGTATATACGCAACTAACTAAATACACAGCTAACGGTAACGTAACTTACCGGGCCCAAGTTCAAAGAACATTCACAGCCAGCTCCCTACGAAAAAGAAGAATAGTTATTAACTGTGTGTGTGTGTGGGGGGGGGGGGGGGCGCTGGTGGGTGGATGGGTGGGTGTTTAAAGTGCGTTGCCGTTGAATGCAGGAAAGTCCGAACGATTTGACGAAGTTTGCAGTGAGCTAGTGGTCTTGAGGATGGGCTAAACGTTGACGAGGATAGTAGCAGTAGCCTCTCTGATGTCGGAGCCCATTTCTTCACCAGGAGCAGTGTAGCCAGTGTCGCAAACGAGCACTCAAGAAGCGCGCGCCGCCGAATTCTGTCGACCAAGCGCCAAGAGACGCCTCAAGGTTAACGCTAAAGAAGAAACCAAGCATCAAAAGATTCCCCGGGTGCGCCGTCTCTCCCCCTCAGAAGCGTACTTTCGCCCAACAACCTCCTCACATCAGAGGCCGAGCAAGCCCTGGAAAGATCTCGAAGGGGCGTGGTGATGCAGAGTTGCAACACGTGTCACAGACGACTGTCGAAACGTCTCGCCCTTTCCCCAGCCTTGGCTGTGCATTGCGCCAACAAAACGATTAGAATTTTCTTGAATCTAGCGCGAAAGTTATTTAGGCGAGCAGCGGAAATGGAAGAATGGGAGAAGAAGAAAATTTGCGCCAGGGTACGTAGAGTGTTTCCGCCGTGTCGGCGAAGGTTTTCTCCTCTGTGACAAAGCAGGAGAAGAAGAAAGCTGGCGTTAGTGTGTGCAGGGCGTTTGCGCCGTGTCGGCGAAGATTTTGTCCTTAGCGACAAAGCAGGATAATAAGACAGTTTACGCCCATGTGCCTAGGCAGGAGATAAGGAAAGTTTTGCGCAAGTATGCATAGGGTGATTCCGCCGTGTCGGCGAAGGCTTCTGGCGTCAGTGACAAAACAGGTAATGAAGAGTATTTCCACCTGATGGGTGAATACTTGTGCTACAAGCAGAAGAGTGTGTCTGTCACCACACTGTAAGCAAAAACTATCCGAGTTTAGCGTCTTTGTGACTCGTGACTTCGGAAAACCACCTTGGGTTTAAAATTACTACTTCACATGAGAGTGAAAGGCGGTACATGACATATTTTTACTACCATCTCTCAGAGAGGTAGTAAAACGACGTCAATATCCAATTTTACACCTTAGGGAGTTTTGTGTCACGTGATAAAAACCTATAGTGGAGATTTTAAAGACATGTGATCAAAAAACCTACAACATCACGTGATTAAGAACTCCCCATGCAGAGTAACATGGCGGATGACCGGAGGTCCGATGCTCGTCATCAGACCATTGGTTCGCGCGAGTATGCAAGCACATGGCTGTATATATGTGTGTGCTCTATAGATACGCCTCGAGGAGCCAGGGCTAGAATTTGTGCCGACACGCATACGCTCGCTTGCGCTGGCGTACACATCAACCAGACGCATTGCCAGAGGCTGCGACACCTTCGGCGGCTATGCCTAATAGCCTAATGGAGCACGGAAACTACGCGTTGCAACCGTTCCTTAGTGACCGCTTCGTCAACCAGTGCGAGAACAACCAATACCACTTAGACTATGTGGCGTTGGAACGACACGGCAAACGACTACGCGTGATACCAGTGCTACGTGGTTTCGACGTCTCGAGCGGTGCGACAAATCCAGCGATTATTTCCGGATATCATACGGTATGACTGTATATTTGACCGAGTCAAAATGTCGCACATACAACTATTGCTGCTCTTGTGCTAGCGCTGTTAAGTTGTGCTCTAAACGAGTAGAAACGTGCTTCTAAAGTTTGGAGAATAAGCTAGCGTGAAATGAAGTGACGTCTGCGTAATCCGTAAGCCTAGCGCTGCCATCGAGTTCGTGCAACAGTGAGTGAGCGAGCGAGCATGCGAGAAACACTTGACAGAAAGAAGTTGGTGTTAGGTGTTTTCGTCACAGTGTAAGCTCCATCTATAGAACGCATCACTTGGTGTGCTGCAAGTACTGAACCGCAGAGTGTCGGTTTTCGACATCAACTAACGCTGCCATCGTTGCCAAAGACGAACAGGATTCGCGAGCTTGTTTTACGATCTGTGAACACATAATGTGACTGGACTTGCACAGTTCATGACATTTACACATTGGTTTGACTCTAGCAAGTTCCTCGCATGTGGCGTTAGCCATCCAGTGTTCCTAAACATTGCCCAGCTGTCTGCGGTGTCAGTGGCTTTAGTGTATCAAATACTCTCTGAAGCTTGCCTGGATGTGCTAAATAAATGCTGCTTTTTCTGCCGACTGTTTCACTTGATGCTTGCTATGTTTCTTTATGCATTTACCAGTGGCTTATTTCCAGTTGCACATGCCTTGATTCCCTGGTTGTCTTTTATGACACATGTCCTGTTACCCAAGACAACTAGAAAGGGCATGCGTAATGTGAGGAGGGCACAACAACGGTGTTTCTTGAGCGTTTTTTTAGTTTACTCAATTAGAGCACACTTTTTACGAGATGTCTTTTCAGAAGCCTGTATATGAGAAATTCCTCTTCTGAAATAAGTGCATAAGGACAAGGTTCTAAATTGAGCAGATCATGCTACCACATGTACGTACAAAATGAATGAAACTAAGGCATGACCATACTCCGTATTGTTTAGAAAGAAAATTAACTGCCACATCGACCCCCACCGACTCTTGTCATATTGTTGAGAACTGTCTTTATTTTTATCAATCCCTTTAGACTGACTAAAGCTGAAATGATCATTTGGGAATTTCAAACAGCACATACTTGCATTAATTTGCAAGTATTATATATTGAGATGGAGAGAAGATGCCAATTTATCAGATATTTTTGACAGTGAATCAGCAGATGATGACATGCAACATCTTTAGAAATAGCTGCACTGTATCGTACCTTAGCATCATCTCCCACAGTGTAACCATCGTCTCGGTACTTCCCATGGCTGCGAGGCACCAGCAGAGCAGTAAGTTTGAAATATAAAGATGTGTACCACATCTGTCTGGAGCGATGAGGTAAAAAAGGCAGTGTACAGGGGCTGTGATCTCGACTGTGAATGTTGAGTTTGGAAAATACTTTTACCAGGGCTGTTATAATGGGAGAGAAGCTTTCCCAATAATTCGATAGTGGCATGGTGACCAAAGCAGTTCCATAAATTCGGGCGTGATGTGAATGTTTCGATGCCAACCATCGTAACAATCTGTTTAGTGTTTTTCAAAACGTATAGCCGGCCTCGAGAAAGCTGACAATCTATGTGCGGTCAAGCAATGAGGTTATGGCTTCTTCAGTACACAAGGGTGCAGCCAAAGGAAGGAGCACGTCAAATGGTAACACTGGATGTCAGCAAGATACAAATGAAACAGTAAACAACCAGTGGTTTCATGTGCAGATTTGCACTTGAGTGTGACAAATGAGAGTGCGCTGTCCCAGTCACAGCAATTTGGTGAAATATACATTGGCATCGTCTGAGTAAGCATTCAGTTCACACGCTCGGTCAATCTGTCGATGGTGAGCTTTGGTATGCCTTTGCTCAGTGGAGCAGGTGGGAAGGATGTAATTCGTGACATGTGACAGATAGTACCTGCCTCAATAAGTAAGCAACTGCTGAGGGATGCTGTGATGAAAGACAATAATTTATAGGAGAAAGTCAGTGATGCTGGTGGAGCAGAAAAAACATATTAGCATTGCTTGAGCGGCGACAATGCATATGGCATATCTCTGGGAACTGCAGTTTGTTGATTTTCCGAAATTGATGTAGGAAAAGGGCCTAGAAGATTAAGGCCAACATAGAGGAATGGTTGTGTAGGTATGTCGATGGGGTGCAGGTCAAAAACAGTGATGTAGCTGGCCAGAGAACAATACATACCATTCTAGAAAAAGGGACATCCTACGTGATAGGTGCGCTATGTGATAGGTGTAGAAAAGACACCAAGATTAATAGCTGGTGCTTAGTTGTTGCGGAACACTGGTGCAAAGATGGTAGGAGCAGCACAAGAAGTTCCTAGCCATTGGCATTTAAGCTATGATGGTACAGAATGTCGTCATGCAAATTGAACAGGCTAGAGGAAGGGCCTGGTGATGGGGGGAAGGGGGGGGGTTAAACGGTCGACGATGATGGTACAGAATGATGGTACAGAATGTCGTCATGCAAATTGAACAGGCAAGAGGAAGGGCCTGGTGATGGGGGGGGGGGGGGGTTAAACGGTCGACGATGGGCATAATGATGCATATTGTCACTTTTCGGGGGAGATGCAAACGAATGTACAGATAGAGAGCATGCAGGAGCACACAGGGATCTATTAGGTCTGGAGCATCAACTGAATGACCTGAAAGTCTGCACCTTTGTGCGGTTGTCTTGACTTGAAATGAAGCACAAATGAGTACTTTTGCATAGATCGCCAGCACCTCCACAAAATGTGATGGAGGTGATGTCGATTTAATAGATA